ATACAAATCTCTTGGCAGGTAAAATGTCTCATATATAGGTATTTAATTTAGCTGCTTGCCTGGAGTTCAGCTTTAGGAAATACAGTGCAGTCCAAGACACACTCCAGCCTGCGACTGGACAATGAATGAGTGGCAGTGTAGCGCCCTCTAAAATGTCGCTATTCAATTTAGAGATACCTGCACTGTAATCAGTCTGGATACTGATTATACAGAGCTCTACATTCTATAGGTGTCCCTGAGTCTGCTGGATCGATTGCTCCTACTGTTGCTGAGGAAAAGGGAGCCTTGGCATACAGTGAGGGGGGATCCATCCTCAGCTTATGACTATGCATCTGACCCTAGCCAATCCCTGAGTAGGATGACTCAGAGGCATGGTTGAGGGCAGGTAATAAAAGGTCTGGGGACACTGTGGAGAGCTCTCTTCCCCCTAGGGGCCTCGCCCTAGGAGGACTGTGTTTGATGCAGAGCAAATGGCCTGGGCCTCAGCACATGGCAGGTGCTGAGGGACCTAGAGGCCTAGGATACACTGATACTTTGCTGGGCCCATGCACGTGGCAGGTGATGGGTGCCTTGTTCTAAGAAGATACTACCACTAAACTGGAGTGCTCCTTGGCAGTTGCAGATGCTGAGGGCACAGAGATTCCAGATCCTGTTGCTAAGGAAAATACCTGATGGAAGCTGGGTCGGGGAGGAGTCCGCTTGTTGAGGGATACCGCAGAGGAGCTGATGAGAGCGTCCGTCTGGGACCCACAAGGGAGATCCCACACCCTATTCCAGGTATCTGTTCACAGTACTACTACTACTATTGGTCCCTGGGACCAGATCACAGTGATTTCAGCCTTAGCCGTTGCTAAGGGAGAAAGCTGTCCTCAGAAGATTCCAATGGCATCCTACAGATCCTAAACACTCTCTCTCCTATTGATGTTGCAAATAAATACCCTAAAAAGACCCTAAGACTCGTGCCGTTCTGTCCGTGAGTGTCGGTGTGCTGTTGCTGATCAAAGGGGACCGGTAACTGGAACCAACAGGTAGGAGAACCTATTTCAATATTCAGCGGCTCCTTCGGGGGTGAGCGCTACAACAGCAAACCAATGATGCCATCCCTCTGCTCTCCCCACCTATGTACATGTTCACAGTGTTAAGGTGGCCATACACTAGTACATCTTCGGCCGAAATGTTTCGTTTCTGTTATGAACCCTCGTTCGAATATACATGCTTAGACTTCCCCCAAGCATAGTCAAATGTCTATTTTGGGAATCGTTTGTTAGCCATACTAACCAACCAATTTTTGACGAACGATGGAAATAATTTCCATTTGCGCACATGCTGTGTTCTTGCTTAGATTTTTGATGAATAAAAACCCCACTGATTCATTGATTTTCATTCGGTCAGAGAAACATTTTCCAACCTGATTGAAAAATTCCGATCACAATATCAAAAATAAAAATCGCTGATAGCATCAGCTGTTCAATTTATAATCTAAGGATGTTCGTGGACAATTTTCATCCGAAAATCTACTAATGTATGGCCACCTTTAGACTGAAAAGTGTACAGCAATAGTGCCCTGATTGGCCCATATTGCGGACACTCCCACTGTGAATACTGAAAGGGATTACTGGAAACCAATTTAAAAAAAGGTTTAGGTACTTATTCTATGTAAAAATATATTTAATTGTGTTATTTGAATATAAAAAACAGATTAAGGTTTTTTCAAATCTGAAAATAAAATCAATTTGTGCATTGTCTCAAAATGTCATATTACTGGACAGAAGGGAGGTGACATCTATCTAACAGACAGCAATGAAAACCTAACATCGGTTCTAATCCTTCCAAATCCAGAAAAATAGATTGGTCCTGACTTCTACATTAATCACCAAAGTATATAGGTTAACCCTGTAAACCTGTGTCTATCCCACCTGTCATGTCAGGAAAGGAGCTCAATTTTTTATGTACTTACAGATATGAGACAACTGCGGTATGACGGACTGAACCGTCACTGGTGCTGTTGGAGGAGCCTGGGGGCTAGCCTCCTTCCTACTGACTATGGACCCAGAACTATGGAGACCCCCCTCTGACCTCTTGGGGTTACAATGAACTATTCTACCAGGTTTATGTGTGGAGGGATGTACTGTACATTTTCCCTGGCATTACATTTGGATGACCCTGTGTTTATTATAGGTACAGGCTGTGAATCCAGGAGCACTGAAGGGGGATCATTCTGGACATTGAACTGTTACAGTTTATTGGTCCCTTTGTTGTATTGTGTTGATGATGGGATTAGGATAGCTGATTCTAGGAGTAGCTGACTCCGGGTGTAGATGAGTAGATCACCCTATGATACACTCAGGAGATAATCCCATCACATATGTCTCCTCTCTCCCTATTCATTCATTAAGGCATTGGGGAGGGGGAGGGGGTGTCTATTTGCATGCTGTTCATGTTTGATTGCATTATGTGTTTAGACTTCTTGAACTGTATATATACTGAGCTGGTCTTCAATAAAGCAGATCTTGGTTTCCACCTCAACATTGGTGTTGTCTAATGATTGAGTGGTTTAGCGTTCTGTCCTAATATATTGGTTCTGTCCAATATTTAGGCAGGTTTGGGCTGAGGACACTGGAATTCGGGTTCCAGCGGAGAGGAAGCTATTTTCTGACGGAGGTACCCAGTCGGGGTACCAGGCGGTACGTCACATGCGGTTTCTTGTCTATATTTCAAAAGGTGACAAGAAGAAGGTCCATGGATGAGCAATGACCACATAGCAGACCTAGGTGCTGGAGATGAAGTGGCAACTAGTCACACATGGTCAGATCTCTTATTGGTAGATATGACAATCCTTCCTGATCTCCTAACTGCTGATGCTTTTAAACAGTATTCAGGTAGCATCTGATCATTATATCAATCTAGCTGGAAATTTTCTACCAACAACCTGCTGTTCTCCATGTCCCCACATAAATCAGTGTTGGGTACAGAAACATCATCATTTCCAAACAAGCTAAAGGTCTAAAATGTTACAGTTTACTATATTATTCCCTATGGAGCAAAGCTTCTCAACGGGTGCTGCCTGTAACCCTGGGGTGATTTTAAGAGGTGGGGGGGAAGGGGTGGTTAAGGGGCACTTCGTGCATTCTCACCAGGGCTGTACATTCTCACCAGGGCTGTACATTCTCACCTGGGCTGTACATTCTCACCAGGGCTGTAAATTCTCACCAGGGCTGTGCATTCTCTCCAGGGCTGTGCATTCTCACCAGGGCTGTACATTCTCACCTGGGCTGTACATTCTCACCAGGGCTGTGCATTCTCTCCAGGGCTGTGCATTCTCACCAGGGCTGTACATTCTCACCTGGGCTGTACATTCTCACCAGGGCTGTAAATTCTCACCAGGGCTGTAAATTCTCACCAGGGCTGTGCATTCTCACCAGGGCTGTAAATTCTCACCAGGGCTGTGCATTCTCTCCAGGGCTGTGCATTCTCTCCAGGGCTGTGCATTCTCACCAGGGCTGTACATTCTCACCTGGGCTGTACATTCTCACCAGGGCTGTAAATTCTCACCAGGGCTGTAAATTCTCACCAGGGCTGTGCATTCTCACCAGGGCTGTGCATTCTCACCAGGGCTGTGCATTCTCTCCAGGGCTGTGCATTCTCTCCAGGGCTGTGCATTCTCACCAGGGCTGTACATTCTCACCTGGGCTGTACATTCTCACCAGGGCTGTAAATTCTCACCAGGGCTGTAAATGTACAGAGGAATAATAATAAAAATAAATAATAATAATAACAATAATAATACTAATATGACATGCCTCCTCTCAGGATGAGCGGTTTAGTATTAGGTTGTATAGTATATGGGAGTGCCTCCATGTACAGAGGAATAATAATAAAAATAAATAATAATAATAACAACAATAATAATACTAATATGACATGCCTCCTCTCAGGATGAGCGGTTTAGTATCAGGTTGTATAGTATATGGGAGTGCCTCCATGTACAGAGGAATAATAATAAAAATAAATAATAATAATAATAACAATAATAATACTAATATGACATGCCTCCTCTCAGGATGAGCGGTTTCGTGTCAGGTTGTATAGTCAGAGCCTCACACAAATCTTAGACTTATTTATTATTTATTCTATTCTCAATACAATTGAAATGATAATAACAATAATAATAGGTCGTGATTATAAATATTGCCACCATTAATGATCGCTGTGATGTATAATATTTGGTAAGATTGGATGGCACACACACATTTCCCTGTCAGTGCCCCGACTTGTCACTGTTAAGATTCAGCTCATAGTATTCATATGTCAGTATATTCCCTGCAGAGGACTCGGAGCCTGGCCGCCAGCAGCGGTGTATGTGTGTGTGTGAGCTCCGCTCAGCGCTGTGTAATGATCGTCTCCTCTCTCCGCATACAATAAGGTGTGATCGGTGTGTCAGTGGGAGGTGGGGGGCGGGTCTTATGCTGGCGGTGACCTATAGGAGAGTCCTATAGCTCCGGGGGGCGGGGCGGCAGCATCAACAAGCATCCACTGACGCGTTTCCTAAAAGTGCGCTGCCTATAGTGTATAAGTGCCAGAGTCGAGCTGTGGCTGGAATCTACGCTGCGATCTCTGCGGAGCGCCTCTGGATTTGGCTTTAAATTCCTGGACAACTTTGCTGACACTTTGTCCAGATGAGGTTCCCTGGACGGTGCCATGCTCTGAGCTGTGTGATGTCCGGGCTGCGGTGCCCTAGGGAGCGCTCAGAGCCCTCTTGAAGTAGGTGGCCCAGGTGGAATAAGAGAGTCTTGTGCCCCTGTCCTACTGGGGTGCCATCAGGGAGACATGTGAAGAAGCTGTACGTGGTTGGATGCCTTGATCTGAGATGACATGGTGCTAATTGTCCAGTTCCAAGAGGGTCCCCAATGAGTTCCAGCAGATGATGGGACCACAAGTGACGCTGTGAGCATTCCTGCAGGGACAGAGGAGTGACAGGTGGGCACCCTTCTCATTGAACATAAAAGCCACATTCCTGCTGGACTGTGATCAGGACTCTATGTAGCTGACTGTTTATTGATTCCTGGACAAGGGATTGAGTCTTCATAGAAGGGGATCCATACTCCCTTCCCTCCCACTCACAGATGCCTGTCTCCTTATGTGATCTTCTCAACCAGTAGTGGAAATGACAATAAGTGCCCCTTATATTGCTCTGGAGGTGATCATCGCAGTACTGTCCATTGTGGGGAATGTACTGGTCTGCTGGGCAGTGGCCATCAACAGCACTCTGAAAAATGCCACCAACTATTTCCTGGTCTCCTTGGCAGTGGCTGATATAGCGGTGGGGCTGCTGGCCATTCCATTCGCCATCACCATCAGCATCGGCTTTGAGACTGATTTCCACAGCTGCCTGTTCTTTGCCTGCTTTGTGCTGGTGCTGACCCAAAGCTCCATCTTCAGCCTGTTGGCTGTGGCTATAGACAGGTACCTGGCCATCAAGATTCCTCTCAGGTAAGAGAATTTGTGGAGGTGCCTGAATGGGATAACTACTGAACTCTTCATGGTCTCTATGGAAAGGACCATGCCACCTAGAAAGAAGAGCATTTTAAATTCTAGAAGTGTTACATTTCCAACTCAATAAAGAATTGGGTATATGGTGGCATTGCCTCAATCCCTCTGTGTCGCAGGGCATAGTAAGTTGGCAAGTTTAACAGGTTCAGCAGCAAAGCTACTTTAAAAAGTTATCGTTGTGATATTCTCCATACACATTCAAAACATTTCAATCAACTTTCAATCTCAAAAATGAGTAAACAAAGTAAGGCAGCCAACAGTATAGACTGTTTCTTGGTTCCCATAGGCGATAGGGTGCCTTGGTGTTTTCAGTCTTTTTTGCAGTTGAAAGTTGTTGGAATGGCCATACACACAGCACATTGCATAAAGGACAAGGTGACTGCATATGCACCCGTTTATATACAGATAAAAGTCACGTTACACCTGATCATTGGCTTACAATGACTGTCCCAGCTTTCCCGTGCGGTGGTTGCGTGCTCCAATATTGCTCAAGCAAGATAGCAATCTGGTCTCATGATAACTGACACAGGAGAGAGAGTTTGCTTTGCCCTACAGTCTGAAAGCCTGTTGAAGCCGTAGACCTGGATTGTACAAGCTGGCCACACACCTGTATGGCTAAATCCGTAAGGATTGTGCTGCTAAGATTGAGTCAAGGTAGACACTCCATCATTGATTATTGTACATGGCCAGCTTAAAACCACTTCTGTCAGGGACTTGATGAACTTCTGGATAAAGCTAAGGGATCGCATTTATTTTACTGCTGTCACATTTAGCAGTCTTTAGTCAAATTCTAAACCTGAGCAGGAACTGGTTGCAGTCCTACACTGTGGCATCACATACACTTACTTCCATCTGTCTTTCCCAGCCAGTCATGTCCTTCAAGCTCAGATATCTGACCCACCGTGTCCTATGTGGTGACCATATTGCCATCACTATCAGCAAACACTTCAATAAGTGATTCAGAGACACCATTGTGAGTAAACACGGGCAGACATAAATAATCTTAGCATATATTAGCTGTGCCTTGTATGTATTCAGTTCATAATGTATTACTAGCCGGTGTAAGGGGTAATATGTGGTAAGCAGCTATTATCACGGCCAGTGCAAACATTCATGTATAATATATTGTGCACTCTACACTCTTTCACTAGAAACTTTTAGGAAATGAGTATCAGATTTAAATCAATTATTGACAATGTTTGCAGTCCAAATACTAAACTAATGCTGTACAGTAAGCTTTACAGTACAGTTTATTCACATTGTTTATACATAGAGATATGATAAATGCATTAAAACAGGGGTGCCCATTAGGTAGATCGTGATCTACCAGTAGCTCACAAAGCTGATGCTGGTAGATCACGAAGGGTGTGAATGGTGGCCCGTTTATTCCATTTTGGTATATTTATTTAGCTGTGCACACATGATTACCTATCAGCCTGAGTCTGCTGAGCCAAGCTTCCTGACACCTTTCTGGTGGATACTGGTGGTTGAAGTGCGATGTATTACATCAAAGAATATTAGTTTACACAGCCTGTTGCACTACACTGTTTGCAAAATACAGCAAGGTGAGCCAGGAGAGAGAGTGGGGAGAGACAGACAGGAGTGGGAGGAAAGACAGCCAGGGGAGAGACAGCCAGGGGAGAGGGCAAGGAGACAGCCAGGAAGGCGAAGAGAGACAGCCAGGAGAGAAAACAAGGAAAGTCAGCCAGGAGAGAGAGGAGAGACAGCCAGGAGAGAGAGAGAAGAGAGACAGCCAGGGGAGAGGGCAAGGAGACCGCCAGGAAAGCAAAGAGAGACAGCCAGGAGAAAAAACGAGGAAAGACAGCCAGAAGAGAGAGGAGAGACAGCCAGGAGGATGGGCAAGGAGAGACAGCCATGAGAGAGAGCAAGGAGAGACAGCCAGGAGAGAGAGCAAGGAGAGACGGCCAGGAGAGACAGCCAAGAGAGAGAGCGAGGGAGGTTTTTTTTTCGTTGGTAGATCTCATGTAGCTCGTCATTTGAAAAGTAGACCTTAACACAGAAATTGTGGGCACACCTGCATTAAAACAATTTACCAAAGTATTTGCTAGCAGAATTACTTAACTGTAAATTATGTTTAAAGGGCAGTCAGTCCAAAGTAATATTTCAATTATAGTTGGAGCCTGGTGGAACAAATCATCTTTTGGTCTCTCGAGGACTTCACTGGTGAGTTCTCCCACTATGCTTCACACCCACATTGGGCATTCCCACATCTCCATAATATAAAATGAATTGAAAATCCGACAGGGAGAGCTGGACCCCTTGTAATGGACCTGAACATGAGCATGAAAAACTCATCAGCATATTTTCCAAAAGATACGAGAAACTCTCAGATGATGTAAATCTTTTGGCATATACTAACTCTGACCTTTGAAGTGACACAGTCATACAAGATGGTCATCATCTGTTACCAAACAATCCTCTGAGATCTTCTAGTATGGTGAACCCGTTCAAACACTGCGTTACATATAACATATTAGATGTACATAGTCCCAGACTGTGACACCATATGATACCAAACAATCCTCCAAGATCTTCCAGTATGGTGAACCTGCTTAAACACTGCATAACATATATCATATTAGATGTACATAGTATTATACTATGTCATCATATGATACTAAGCAATCCTCCAAGATCTTCTAGTATGGTGAGCCTGCTCAAACACTGCATTACATACAGTATATAATTTATATGTACTTAGTCCCAGACTGTGACATCATATGATACCAAACAATTCCTCCAAGATCTTCTAGTATGGTGAACCTGGTCAAACAATGCATTATATATAGTATATCATTTATATGTACATTATATAAGTACATAGGCACTGCATTATATTATTATACTTTGTGTACATTGTCCAAGGAACAGGCTGTCTTCCTATGTCATGTGGAACATTGGCTATTTCTGAAAAATTACAATACAGATAATTCATTTAGATTTCTTTGCATCATTAGTATAAGTATACAGGATTTATATAACGCCAACAGTTTGTGCAGCGCTTTACGAAATGGAGGGAGACAATACAGTTAACAATAGAAATGCAATACAGGAGGGTTAGGAGGGTCCTGCTCATGAGAGCTTACAATCTAGTAGGAGGGGCAAGTGATACAAAAGGTGATAATTGTGAGGGATCAGCTGATGAAAGGAGTAAAAGGACAGTTATTATGTTGAGGTGGGATAGGCTTCCCTGAAGAGATGAATTTTCAAGCATCGCCTAAAGGTGGACAAAGTAGGAGAAAATAGAAAAGAGCGGACTAGGGAGTTCCAGAGGATGGGAGACGCTCTGGAGAAATCCTGAAGGATTACCTATGACATTTGACTGTGTTCTCTCAATATCATCATAAGCTTTTGTGGTTATTATACATCGTTCAGTTTTTAGCATTGGCCAATCGATGTATCATAAAAAGTAGGGATGCACAGATACCAATACTAGTATCGGTGCAGATACCGAGTATTTGGGTGAGTACTTGTACAAATGCTCCAATGCCTCGCCCAATACCTGAAATTCCAGTATCAGGAAGCCGGGCAGCGAATCATTACACGCTTCGTTAATGGGACTTTCGGTATCGGCGAGTACCGAAAAAGAAATATCGGTACTCGTACTCAATACTGAAAAAACGTTATCGGTGCATCTCTCTCTAATAACATGTATACCTGTCATTTATGCTCTTTGTTTTCTCTACTCAAAAAGTCCATTCCTTATTGTTGTAGGTCCTCTTGATTCTGCCTATCCGCAGATCTGTTGCTCTTTATAAGTTCTTCTCCAGAGATAGCTTCACTTTCAGTGATTTATGAGGGTTGGAAACAACACATTGGCTAAATATTATTCATCTGTTTTTCTGCCTGTTGCCCATAAACAGTTTGACGTGCAGAGCATTTGTTTTGTTTTATGAAGAATAAAACAATAGAAACTTTCTGGGATGGAAATTCTAACTTTATTGCTGTGAATGGACAATTTGGGTCCAATACACGTAGAGTATTATTTGGCAGGCTTGCACTACCATTGAGTGTGGGAAGAATTTGCTTTTCCTAGCTGACAAAATCATACCCGCTCATTTGTGCATCACCACGTACACATGTGCTGACACGGGTGTGTTCTTTAGCTGATCTCTGGGATGTGGTTTAATATGGGTGATTATTTCTAGTACAAGGAATTATAAAATGGAAAAAACAGGAAAACACTAAAGAAGTTCCAAACATTTAGAAAAGTACATTTTGTGAAATGATCCTAAATGGACCCTTATAGTTACTTTTTTTTTAAAGGCCAACTCCGCCCAAAGAAGATATTTCTGCTTTGGTTGGTTGCTGGCAAACTGAATCTAGTTTTTCATAAGTAAGCTATTCATCCTGCAGTGTCCCGTTCCTCCCAACTGCTCTGACTGTTCTATGCTCCAAAGTAGGTGTCACATTCCCCTCGATGGACTCTTCGTATACAGAAAATAGACAAGTAACTGGGGAACCTAGCTGCCAGAGGGTGACAGCTTCATCATAGGAAGGCTTAGCAGGGAAATGTTTTTTGAGTCTTTGAGAGCTGATAAAGCCTTCCCCTCTTCTCATCAGGAGCCCCTTTTCATATCACAGCCCCCCCCCCCCCCCAAAAAAAAAGACCGTTTTCATTTGACCACCCCCCCCCCCCCCCTTTAACATCTTTATTTGACAGGGGCACTCCACTGTGAAGGGGGAAACCTACTTTTTTGTTTGTTTTTGCGCGATACCCCCTTAAAATCGATGACATTTTTGACTGGGGATCCTCGAGATTTTGCATACTTTTAAAGGGTGCGGTGACTAAATAAAAGTTAGGAAACGCTGATATAAGCCACCAATGCCCACCTTCTATTGAAATGCTTATTCTGCATAAAGATTGCAGAAACCTATTTTTTTCAGTAACTGGACATAAGAGTAGCATGAATTGGTAC